TTTCATTCTAATGAAAATGACAACACCGGTGTGTTTGGTACGGAGGAAAACAATTTCCTAGAAAATATTTCCATGATGAATTTACTGGACAACACTTCTGATGGAAGAAACAATTTCTGCACCTATGGCGTAAAATATCTTCCTTTAAAAATATCGCAACTCTTAATCCATATACTTGCTCCAACCAATACTTAGACATTATTATCAATCTTTAACACTAAGAAATTCCATTAAATTTCCAGAGCAAAACATTATCCAATTCTCAACACTTATTATCAAACCTTAACAAATATTTTCCCGAAAACATTTTCCACTCACCAACCAAACACCGTGAAAACATTTTCCAGGAAATCATTTCCAAAACATTTCCCTTAATACCAAACACAACTAGGTGCCTAACTCGGGGAAAGTAATGCTGGTAAAAAATTGAAAAGAATGAGCCAATTCTTCAAAGGGCACAAACCCAAGAATACATAGAGATGAAAAATTAAGGGCATATCTCTAAAAATCCAATTAACAAAATAGATCCCTTTTACTTTCAGGCAAATGTAGCATAAAACAGAAGTATAACTAAAAGATATTAGTGATTACCCTAAAGGAGGAAGCTTTCACACTTCTCAATCACCAATATCTACATATAGGATTACAATAACTATTAAATCCAATATATACATAATTCTTGAGACATGCATATACAAATATGAGGCTGGTGGCACCACATTTGGGTAAATCATTAAAATAGTTCAAAACACTCCATTAGAAAGAACGAGTAAATTTTTCAAAAGGGCATAAAAAGGTCAGAAACCCAAGAATACCTAGAGATGAAATATTAAGGGCATATCTCCAAAAATCAAATTAACACACAGATAGATCCCTTTTTTACTTTCAGGCAAATGTAGCACAAAACAGAAGTACAAATAAAACACAGTAATTACCCTAAAGGAGGAGACTTTCACACTTTTCAGTCACTAATATTTACATAAAGGAGTAAAATAACTATTAAATCCAAGATATACATAATTCTTGAGACATGCATATACAAAAATGAGGTCACCCCGTTTGAGTAAACCATTAAAATAGTTCAAAACACTACATTAAGGGCATATCTCTAAAAATCAAATTAACACACAAAAAGATCCCTTTTTAATTTCAGGCAAATGTCGCACAAATCATAAGTACAAATAAAACATAGCAATTACGAAACTTTCAAACTTTTCAGTCACTTTTATTAACATATAGGAGTATGATAAATATTAAATCCAAGATATACATAATTCTTGAGACATGCATATACAAAAATGAGGTCACCCCATTTCAGTAAACCATTAAAATAGTTCAAAACACTAAATTAAGGCTATAACAATAGAAATCCAATTAACACACAAAAAATCCCTTTTTAATTTCAGGCAAATGTAGCGCAAAATAGAAGTACAAATAAAACATAGCAATTACCCCAAAGGAGGAAAGTTTAAAAAATTTCAGCCACTTGTATTAACATAACTATTAAATCCAAGATGTACATAATTCTTGAGATATGCATGTACACAAATGAGGTTGGTTTCAAAGTAAATCAGTAAATTATTCAAAACATTCAATTAGAAACACAGAATTTAAATGGGCTCATAAGTGTACTCACGGTTTAATCTGACGGAGATTCAGATTCAGTGAGAGTTGACTTGCTGGCGATATGAAGTAGAAAAAGTAGCGAGTACTGTAAAGTGAATTTAAGAAGTTCTGAGTAGTGGGAAATGAAAGGTATAGGGTGCGAATAGATATTTAAAAGGGCAAAGGTGCAAATATGTCATTCTACTGCACGGAATTGACTACATTTTCCATTCGTTAATACTTTACGTCAAATATGCCCTTACCGTCACATAGTTGGTCCATATATGCCCTTTTCGAAACAGAATTCACCCAAAGTAATTAGCTCTTTCATTAATTGTATTAAAGTTTATTACAAATACTATTTTCTTTTTATTAGTACTTTTTCTTCTTTACCTTTCTCTTTTCTTTCTTCTTTTTTCTTTTGTTTTCTTTTTTTTTCTTTTTCTTTCTCCCTTATCCATTTCCTCCATTACTGATATCTTCTCCATTTTCGTCACCAATATCACTTGACAAAACTCATGAATTCCAATTACTAAGAAAATTCTCCCATAAGGTAATCAAGTTCCAATTTCACTGGCCCTCTAAATAAACGAAATTAAATTGTTCCAAAAATTATGGTTTAAACTTTAAAATAATAAAAATATCTCAACCTTTAACAATACTCAAAAGACCAAAATATTTAAATTATTTCCAAAAATATAATTTAATGATTAAAAACCTAGAATTCAAGTTATAGTGTTATAAATTTGAGTTGTTAGTCTTTTTTCATCTTTTTTCAGCTGGATATTTTTTATTTTTTATTTTATTAACTATGTAAATTAGGGGTGTACATGGAACGGGTTGGTTCGATTTTTATCAAAACCAAACCAAACCAATTATATCGGTTTGGATTGTTCGATTTTGTTGGAGTTTTCAGGTTTTTTGTTATATAAATATTATTTCAATCTTACTTTGTTAAATTTTTTAGAACTAAATATATGTTCAGTAAAAATTAAAAAATTGACAAACATATGAACTATAAAAATATTCTTATGGGAGAATTTTCTTAGTAATTAGAATTTATTAGTTTTGTCAAGTGAAATTGGTGACGAAAATGGAGAAGACATCAGTAATGGAGGAAATCGGATAAGGGAGAAAGAAAAAAAAGAAGAAGAGAAGAACAGAAAAAAGAAGAAAGAAAAGAGAAAGGTAAAGAAAAAAATACTAATAAAAAGAAAATAGTATTTGTAATACACTTTAAAATAATTAACGAAATAGCTAATTAGTTTGGGTGGATTCCGTTTCAAAAAGGGCATATATGAGCCAACTGTGTAACTCTAAGGGCATATATGGACGAACCATGTGACGGTAAGAGCATATTTGAGCTAAAGTATTAACGAAGGGCAAATGTGCTCAATTTCGTATAGTATAAGGGCATATTTGGATATTTTCCGTATTTAAAAACTCACTAAACCATCAAAACGTACCGAACTGATTTTCATGTTTTTTAATAAAATCGTAATTTTTTTTATATAAATTTGTAACCGAATTGATAATTAGGGTATTAAGTTACATGTAGAAAATATATTTATATAGTATTAAGTTTAAAAATAATAAAGTATTTAATTTTTTTCTCGGATCTTGGAATTATAAAAATTATTACAAGTCAACGAGTAATTAAACTCAAAATCCTAATTCCTAAACCTATTATGCTACTCCTATTGAAACTAAATTATTTCCAGCATATTCGCTAGCAAGACACAAGGTATTCTAGCGATTATGAGTATCAAACTGCAATGTATTAAATATGTTTCCTTCCGTATGATTTAGATTTATCTTTTTGAATATTAATCTTCCATAAACCTTTTCTTGAGTCCCAGCTTAGTTAATATCTTTTCATTCATGTGATTTATATTATTTTTTTGTCTTTCATTAGTCTCTTTTACGCTGATGTAGAATAGTTGATAGATCTATACTCTAACCATCTTTCATATTTTCTAAATTCATCATCCAAAAATGTCTAAAGAGTTTTACGAAGTCCTATAAAAGTACGTATGTTATTGCATTCTATTTCTACTAGTGACTTTTATATGATATTTAAAAAAATACTGAAAATTAACCGAACTGTACCGATACCGAAGAGAAACCGACATGATTAAGACGATTTCGAAAGTCTAATTTTAGTTATATATAATAAAATAATCGAAAAATTAATATGGTACAAATTTTATAAAATGACTGACCGAACTGAACCATTGACACCCCTAGTTTGGGGCAGAGCAGTGGAGTCACGTGAAGAAAGGACCACAATGCAGGTGACACATACTGATGAGTGTTTGATATAACAGAAAATATTATTTTTTAAATTATTTCTTAAAAACTGATTATAATGTTAGCAAATAGTGTTTTGATTAAAAAAAATTATGTATTAAGAGTTAAAATAGTTGTAAAGGATAATGAGGCCGAAAAGTGAGTGAAGTCATTTTTCCTACATGTTGAAAATTGTTTTCCCAATTTTTTTTAATGGCAATCAGTTATTATAAAATGACTTATTTTCTAGAGAGCTTTTTTTGACAAAGCTCAAACCAACGCCTTTTGCATCAAAAAATTGCCAGAGCCTTTGAGAGTTAGGGATCATTGGTAAGATGCATTAGAAAAAATAATGCATGCATTAACTTTTGGTATTACTAATTTCTTGTTTGGTACACTTTTTTAACCTATATATTACTAATGCAAGTATTAGTTATCCAACATATATGGTATTATCCTGTGTATAACTAATACATACTAAACCATGGTATTAGCAATACCAAGGCAATTAATGCATGCATTAGCATATCCTTAAAGTCCCTTAAAACTAAAGAATATGGAAGGTATTTTTGTAAACAACTAATTTTCTTAAAAATTATGCAATGTATTTTAATTTTTAACACACTACACTAAACAGTGAATAAGAAATAATATCTGCATAACTAATGCTTGAATTACTAACGCTTACATTACTAATCTCTGCATTACTAATACATTTTATTCAGTACTATTCTTATATACCATACCAAACGACCCCTTAATGTTGTCACTTTTGCATTTTTCTTCTATTTTTCACATGGAAAACATGATTGACAATTTTTTTTTGTCTCATCACCCAATATAATTTGTTCGAAGAGTAAAGAAAGAAATAAAGAGAAAAAAAGTTTTCTCTGAGATATGAATCTTACACCCAATTGATTTGCAACCAGTAAGGTTCGACTTCAGTGTATAAATGACCCCCATTCTAAAGGGTTGCTATTTAAAAATTTGTCAATTTTAAAATTTCAGTTAAATTTTTCAGGACAAATATGTCTTGAGTTGAAATACTTTCTGACATACTAAAAACATTTTTGAAAAAAGAAAGAACATTGGTTACACGCTTGAAGTGCTCGGAACCAAATCATATTAGTCCATTGTAGTCACAATGTAAATATCAGATTTGAGCAAGTTTTTTTTCTCTTGTCTAGACTGAAAAGGTAAAGCTTTTGCAAATGGCCACTAAGACTTTGAAATGATGATTATTGTAAGGGATGAATGAACTGTATAAAACTATTTTCTGGTGTCAGCAAGAGCTTAAAACCAGGCTACTGCTACCTCGCTGAAGAATTCACAGAAAGAGTACTAGTAAGCATTTCTTTTCTGCTCAAACATGTTAAATTCCACTCTGGATTAGAGAAGAATCAACAATTGGAAAACAGTAATCCCATTGTGCAGGAATCCCACAATGAATTGCAGCTAATCAGTGAGTGATCCCAGTATTATATAATAGCTGTGATATTTAGTTCGCCGTCGCCATCACTGCTGGTCATTGTGAGAAGTCTAGATTGCTAATGTTGTAATCGTCTTTGTTTCCCAGAACAACTTTTTCATATGTGATTTTCTATCACACTTGTCTAGGCTCTTGTTGAAGCCCAGTTAACAGCTGCGACTGCTCATTTTCTCCACTTCAGTCCTAAGAGTTCTGTTGACAGGGACAAGAGCTGAACTAGATGATGAACCTGGATGTAATTGCTGCTTCTCACCTGCTGCAAAACTGTAGACTATAACCGGCTCACAATCCCTCTCACTCAACGAACCCCACTGGGGAGACGGAATCCCTGGACAGAGCCTCCAAGTTTAGCTAATGAACCACTACTCATCTCCTCCTTTTCTTCAAAAGCGATGCAGCTTGCAGAATTATCCTATCAACCTCATCAAGTGCTGGTGTATCGACATCTTTACCTGGTGATTTCTCTCTCCTCGAGTTAGAAGATATCTGAAGCAAATCCTCCTCAAAATCATGTGCATCTCCATTGCCCTGCACTGGAAACTTTTCGAACACATCCAAGTAAAGAGGTTCTTCAATCTTCTCCTTATCCTCTTCCTCAGAGTCTGTCTCAAAAATATCTGAAAGATCTTCAGAAGCCGATCCTATATCTGTATCTACCATGGAATCATCTTCTTCACCCTGTTCTTCATTTTCAATCATTAGCCGTTTGAGCTTATCAGATGCCCCAATTTGCTGGTCGGGACAGTGTGCATGGCTAAAATTCTCAAAGCCAGTCTCTTGATTATTGTCAGGAGCACCAGTTTTGTTTTCAGCTTGCAATCGAAGCAGCTCGAGATCTTGCTCAAGCCGTGGAATGTATCTCTTAACAGCTTTTAAGGAATCTCTGTATTTAGATTTATCTAAGGCCTGTACACAAAGAGCAATAACAAATAAGAGAGAAAGAAACGATGGGGGTCATTCAGGACAAACACCAAAACATTGCATACACAAAAATTAGCAGACGAGTAAGAGAACCTTTTTCCTAGAAAGAGTACTTCTTGGAGACATTATCTCGGTTGGTGGTTGGGAGTAGTTTTTTCCCCTGTACATTATAATGGTGTTATCATCCTGGATATCAAGAACGATCCCACCACTTAATCTTGCAAGCTCTGCAGCAATTTCCTTAACCTCCTCTGGAGAGAATGTTTTCACCACCACTTTCAGAGTTTGGTGCTTCTTCCAATGTAGATGCATATTAAGGATCACACCCTGGTATATCCCACGTCTCCCAACTGGTACATAATTCTTGCACTTCTCCCCCATTTTCAAAAAGTAGAAGTGTTCTTCTGGTGTCAATATTTCTGGGTCGTGAGTAGCTTCTGATATCTCCTTGGGCTCAACTTTCTTCAGAGCTTCAAGAAGCCTTTCCTCTTTTTTCCTTGCCTAGAAAGATGAAATTTGCCATCTCATAAGAGCTTGAATTGTATTTAAAAGTACACATTAAAGAGACAGTAAACCCCATCCATACATCATTAAATATTTTGTTGGATCCAAAATTAACATAGAGCAATTGAACATACAGTGATCAAGTCCTCAACATATCTTGGTAAGCATATAGGAGAAGAGACTTGAGTTACAGCAAATACAGTTCCAAATTTGCAAATGACTCCACAACCAGCACAACTCGTATATCCATCTGACATAACTAGATTAATACCAGCAGTCCATTAAATTATTCAACCTCAACAAAGATGTACATTAGGTACACATAATTTATACGTTCGGAAATGGAAAAGAGTAATACATTCGAGAAACAACATATTAGAACAGGCATATCTAGATAACTAGTCCTTTCACATAAACTTTATTCAGAAAAAAGAAAATAAACCAAAAGACCCACAATCTCTTGGAAGAAATGCGGCCTAAACTAAAAACAGAACATTATGGAATCAAAAGATCTATATTGGTGATATCAACTAGTTGGGAAATCAAGAGTCATTTGTTGTTAAACTTACATTAGATCCATATTTTTCAAGAGATTCTTTTAGGCACGTTCAAGACTTGAATGTCAGTGTAGGGATAACTGTGAGTGTTAGAGAACCACTAGGTTTATAGAATCCTTATTTGCCTTAGAAACACATACTTACCAGTGTTGGAATGAAATGCTGTTGGACATAGTGGAATAGACATAGAAGATTCGCGTAGCCGACCTTAATTAGCTTGAGATTAAGGTATTGTTTCCTCTCTTTTTTTTTCCTTTCGTTGATAAACGCGAGATCCCCAAGAACCAATGGTGCACGCACGGTTTGAAACTCGATGGATAATAGGGCCCACCCCTCTATCTTTCTCTACTTAAATACCAAGCTTTGTCTGCCCTATAGTTTGAACCCATGACGTGCGCCAAACCACACATCACTTGCTACACTCTTACCACTAGACCAAAGTCCGGGGGCAGAGTATGGTTTATCGATCGATTCAAAGAAAATAAACATGCAAAGACAATTTAAAATGGAGTTGTCAAAAGAAAAGGAGAATGGTATTTCAAACATCATGTTACAAAACTTCCACTAATCTAAGTAACATGCTACAAGAAAAACATTACCTTGCTCAATTTGAAGAGGATTTTCTCTTCTGCAGTCATCCTTTGGAGCTCTTTCTTCTTCTTCCACCTGAAGAACTTCAACCACTTCACAACCTCTCTTTTACCCTTTAGTTTCTTCCTCTTGATTTTATCTTCTTTAAACTCACCAGAACTCTCTGCAACTGCAACAGCATCATTTCTACCGCCATTCGACGTTTCCCCGGATTTGCCACTCGTGCAGAAATACCGACCCGAATTTACCAATCTAAGATCACATTTTTGTACTCTAAAATTTGGCCCAATTGTGACTGCTCTCTTAAAAACCTTGCACATTGCATTATAAAGACTACTATATCATGAGATTAGCACAATTATTACTTCGAGCTAAGCAATTGTCAGTGTAAATGCATGAGTTCGAATTAACATTTATAGGAGAACAGAACACACACACACACACACACACATACCAGAGAGAGAGAGAGAGTGAGTGAGGGAGAATTACCTGGTTTGATGGGGAGAGGAATGGGCTAAAACGGGTTGGAAAATGAATGGGTAGAAGAAGAGATGTTGAAGCTGCCGTGATTTGCAGAGCATCGCCGGAACAAAACTTCTTCCTAGCATTTTTCACTCTTTCTGGTGTCCGACCGCCGACGGGGAACAGAGCAGGCCTTTTTGAGATAAAATGAACAAGGTAAATGGACTGTGCTAGTACGGCTTTCGCTAAAGGCCCAAACCATCACTACCTTTTGGTAAAAAGTGCACAAATAGCCGTTTTANCAATTTAAGAAATAACCTAAACTTATAAAGTTCAAAGTTTAGCCACCTCAAAGTTAACTTCATACAGTCAGATGGAGAAAAAGAAGCTGCAGCAGTATGCATGAATTTGAAGTTTGCCAAAACTGGCTATAACTTTAAATAATTTTTAAAATCTGAATAAGTTTTAAATAGGAGTGCTCAAAGTGGTTACCTAGTGTCATTTTTCTACAATCTTTTGGACATAGTTAATTGGTACAAATAGCATAAATAGAAAATGTTGGGAATCTAACCTCATGGCGCTGCAGTTTAAATTGTTTGATAGATATAAAGGAACGGCTCTAACCTGATTTGATACTGAGATGCAGTTAGTTAATTGATTGATTTTAAGAATTCTTAAAAAGATATTACATCATCGTGGGAGAGATGAAACCGAAAAAGGAAAAGATGCCAAAAGTCTTAACAAGTATATGATCGCAAGATTGAAGAAATATGACATGCATTGATTCATTAAAGGACACATTATACAAAAAGGGTGGCACTAGTTATATATCCTTTTCTTTTTTCTCTCTTTTCATTTTTAATTTCATAAACTTCGTGAGCTCAAGGAAGCAAATCCACCACCTTTCATCATTTGTCTAAATTCCTTGAAATCAACCATTCCATCACCATCCACATCCACTTTCATTATCATCCTCTTACAATCTTCTAAAGTTTTGCCGTGTTTCAACCCTAGTGATCCCAAAACTGACCTCAACTCTTCCACTGTAATATATCCATCACCATTTTGATCAAACACATTAAAAGCTTCTCTCATATCTTCCTCTTCATCTTTCTCGTCCATTATATTCTTGTACAATGTTCCAAATTCATCTATGTCTACGTATCCGTCTCCGTTTACGTCTATTTTTTCGATCATTTGTACAAGTTCTTTTTCCTCAATGTGTATTCCCAAGTTTTGTAACGAGATGCTAAGCTCCTTTTTTGTAATATTTCCGTCTCCATTACGATCAAACATTTGAAAAATTCTGTGTAGTTCTACGGAGTCCATTTTCTAGGATGAGATAGAGCTAGTAATAATGAAATAAAGGAAATTAAAAAGAGAATGATTTAAAACCTCGTAGGTTTTAGTATAAAAGGAAAAGGATTTGAGGTTTGGTCAAGATTTATGATCTTGAATGATATAAACGAAAGAACAAAGATGGAGCAAAACAAATATGGTTTTAGGACACCCACTGATTTGGTTGAATGACTGGATTTTGTTTGAGGTTCTCTTATAAGATAAAAAACCTCTCAAAATATATAGGACCTCTGTTTTCTTGGTTGGTTTTGTGACTTTACTGTCTATATATAATTAAGACTAAAGGCAAAAGGTGGACCTCTAAAAGGGTCTCAAAATTGGTGGGTATCTATGAAAGTATGTTATATGTGGATCTCATGTCTGTAGACGTGAGGTGAGATTGGGTTTGTTTGGGGGGGGTTAATATGGATTGGACCACTTAAAATATACTAAAAATAGTATCCAGCTAAATATAGGTTGGAGAAATTGATTGATTCAGCGATGAATTCGTAAGAAGTGGCTGTTGGATAACTGGAAAGACTATGTATTGAATCTGATTTTGAGATACTCCTTGGTTTGTGGCGGATGTTTTGCAAATATTTGATTGGATAGCACTTAGCAGACAGAAAGACCCTTTCTCTCCTATCTACAAATGTAATAAGTAGAAAAATCTCTATAAAGGGTGTTCAATTTATATTATATACCATTAAAATCTAATATTTTACATATATATACAGTGTAATTTTTCGTTCAAGGGTGGTGTAAGTTACCGAAGGTATGGTTCACATGTACTAATGTTGTTCATGCCCAGCTGCAAAAGATAGTGACAGGTTTGTGTTTTGCAGTAATTCATACTTACAATTTAAGAACGTTCACCATATACCAATAATATTTTCAGTCTAACAAAACCAAGAACCAAAATAAAATTTGCTAATCCAGAGACATTTCGGAATCTAGTCAATTAAATTAGTTGATAAATAGGAGGCAAGAGAGGATAAAGTTTCTATTACAGCTACTGGCATTGGTCACGGTATTTCACTTGGCATGGAAGCCATTAATAGATTTCCAAATCTAATACAAGTTCCAGTAATTATTCATTCCATTGTTGACTTGTTTACAAGTAATGCACTCCGACTAAAAGCACTAACAAGTAACATGGACTGAACTCATACCTTATGTTATAGCCAGAATGAATCAAAATCTATATCTGAATTCTGGAGGCATTGAATTAGTACTTACAGACTGGCTCAAACTCTTCAAATCACAAATATTTTATATATTTCCTGAAGTTTTTTCTTCTCTGCAGATATTCTTTACATACTTAGGGGGGGGGG